AAGAGCCTCTCTAAACAATAATCCAGGCTTGATCCAAAGGTGGCTTTACCTCCACAAGCAGTGCAGGCACCTAGTTAGGTTCCCAGGCTCATTAAACACTTTACAGTGAGAGTTCATTACCTAAGAATAAGATAATTTTATATTCACTAAGCCAAAGAAAGGCCTAATTCTACCAGCTACAGGATATTTACCTAGAAGTGGGAAGACCTTGCATCAACTCCTTGTTCCACTGTATACTTTAGTATTCAGCAACTCAGACCAGGATGCTATCATGCTGGCCTGTTCTAAAGTCTCTGCTGCCACATTTTCACTGCTATTGATACTCAAGCTAGCACGGGTATGCTTGCCAGGGCCACAAGTGCACCTTCAGCAAGACATACAGATATATCCTAAGACCTATTTTAACAATGACTACTACATATAACAGTTCAATAACTACTAGAAAAGTAACTACAAAGGCTGTGTTCATACAAGGTAGTTTAGAATTTGAGATTTATACTCTACTGTTGCTAATTTATATACAAACAACATTATTACCTCAAGCCCAAATGCCTTTCAGTTTATGGGGTAGACATTTGCATTCACACCTCTAGTCCCAGACCTACCCTATGTAAACCCAGGGAACTACATTCCATTCCACTTCTGTAGGAGCAACTTCTGAGATGTTGAATCATCAGATCTGAACCTGAACTATTTGTCTTTTACTCAGGCTGGAAATATTTTGAAGCAGCAGGAAGTTCTGCACTGCTGATCTCTAAGCTACAGTGATTTCAGATATGGAAAGGTGGAATGACTGCACGTAACCAAGAGGCCTTTTTCCCTAGCACAGCCTCTCGCTGAATAGATCAATAGCTTCTTGAATCCTCATATCCTTTTCAAATTAATACCCCAAATATATGGACCTGATTATGCTATTTTATCAGATAACTTAAACAAGCAACCTGTCTGCACATTAATTGTTATTGAGGATTAATGTTGTTTATAAAATGAAATCAATACAATCTCTATTGCTTATTAACTGAAACATTCTAGGCTGTGCTCTGTTTGCTTTGCTTTTCAATTAGTTTCTATTATTTTCCCTATTAGCGTTTAACAAATAGCTGTAGAAATAAACTTAATGGTTGTGAAACTGTTATCAGAGTCAACAAAGTGCCTTAATGGAAAATCTTGTATATTTAAATGTAAAAAAGAATCCAATGTTTAATCATTTGACATTATGAGATAAGTTTATTACTATACATCTGTTCTGTGCAGGGTCTGCTTTTTTTTTTTTTAAACGAAGCAATTAAGAGTTCTTTAGGGTTCTCTAGAGTTCAGATGTCAGAACTGTTAAGTTGTTTATTACATGTGAGATTAAACAACTCTAAAGTCTAATAGCCGTTGTTATAAAGACTGCTAAATTCATAGTGAATAAGAATAGCATGGGCATTGCTAACAAGTAAAAGAGCAGGAATGCTTTTAGGATTAGGCAGAAAATTTGAATGTGAAGGGGGCTTTCTTATCATTTCTAGCCATGTGCTCTCTGTAGTCATATTTCTATGCCAGCTGAATATCTTACTGAATTTTTAAAAGGTTATGCCCTCATTACCTGGGTGCAGGAGAAGACATAAGTGATAATGTAGTAATTTCCCAACTATAGCTGAACTCTGTCAGCCATTTCCCTCCCCTTCCAATTTGGTTGCGCTGTAGTGAGAACTGTCACATAAGCAGACTAAAGCAGAACCCTGAAGGAAATGAAGCCAGGGGTCCAAGGCTATCATCTTGGGAGTGGAAGGGAAGATTGAGAAGTCCACTGGGAAGAAAGGGTCAAGAATGAAGAGTATGTTAAGGACAGAAACCAGGGGTGGGGGAAAATGGAGAGGAGCCATTCTGTTTGGAGAAGGAGAAAGATCAAAGAGTTGAGCAGAAGGTTGGGATGGAAAGCTGTGTGACAGGCCAGGGCAAGGCAGGTAAGGGTTCAGAGGGGCCTCAAAGTTTTAAAATCATCTGGATATATTACACAGCCATCGTTCTAGAGACAACGCCAGTATGACATTGCTCCTTTCTCAGTCCTTTTACAGTCCTTTGATGAAGGTGGCTAACTCAGGGTACTCTCACCATCCATATTTGGAAGCAGTGAGCACAATGAAGTCTTTGCAGAGAGAAACGTTTAGACTTAACATCCAACTCCAGTCCAAGTATAACAGTTCCACATTCTTCACCAAATTCTGGCCTCCTTAAAAACAACAAAACAAAAAATCCTAGTACAGTATATATCTTAAAGTAGTAGAAGAAAGTTCCATGCCATCAGGAATTCAAAATAGCACTATTAATAGAGATATGAAAAGTTGCCAACCAAGCAATGTGCTTTACGTTTTTCCATCTCCCTATTTTCTGGCACTGCTTATTGCTTGTACACCTCCTCCTTCAAGTAGGCTATGAAGGCAGGCAAATGTTCTACTGTTTCTGCTGTCCATGGTGACAGTGATGACCTGTGTCCATGGGGCAACTGGTGGTGTGGGAAAGAAGCACCCCAGGCAGTAGGCTACCATAGCTACTCAGCTGGGGAAAGAGTATTTCCTTCCTGTTCTTGAAATGAGGTCTTCACAAGCTGCTGGTTGAAAATACATAGGAGATGTCCATGTACTGAGAAGGGTTGCCAAATAAGCTGTCCAATTTATAAAAGGACTTTTTTCACCCTAGTTTTCATCTGCTCTCTGCAAATGTCAATATGCTCAGATTTTAAAAGACATTTTGGGATGAGAGTCTATTTGCACACTGTCTGCATGCACGAAATATCTGTTATCACTGGACAAGTGGCATTTGCACAAACAAATTTCAAGAAATAGTTCCATTATTAAATATCCACTTTGCACAGGTAAATACAGTTTTGCATATACATATCTAAGATGCTGCTGTGCCAAACAACAGCATAATTTTCCCTTTGTGCATATCTGTATACAATTAGTGCCAAAAGATTCTGATCTGGCTATGGTTTCCATTCCCTGGTGGCAGACTAGGCAAAAGGCAAGACAGCGCAGAACGAGACCTAGAGAAGCTAGTAGGTTAAGTAGGCAGGTTTTTAACCAGTGCACAAATAGGGAAGGTTGATTGTACAGCCTTTGCTATTTTACTTGCCTAGAATAGGCCACATACGTGCTTCTAGATGCATAAAATTAGATGTATAAGTGCTTCTAAATTTTTCTCACAAGCAATATATGAACACTTACACTATTTTTGAAAAGTTCTATAATCTTTATTTCAAATAATTTTATTTACTATCTACAGAACCTCTCCTAGCCCTTGCATAGCACTGATACATTCCAGGCAAGGGCGAGGCATAGTGTTAAGAAATGTACACAGGTATAATTTATTTCTTGAAAGTTTGCTGGTTATTATAATCAAATGTCAGTTGTCTGTAATTGCTGGATGTAATGGAAAATACCTACTTAGTAGATGGCCTATCACTGGCTGATTAAAAGTGCACAAACCCTCAGCAAGGAGGCAATAATTTCAACATAACTTCTTTACCTTACAAGTGCCCAGAGTAGAGTTCATACTGTTTCAGTTTTGGTAACCACTATTGTAACTGGGTCCTATATAAAAGAAATGATTCCATGCAATCTCTGACAAAAAATCATCCCACTGCTTTTAATTCATAATAGTTTCTGCTTTGATGACTTCCATCTAGCCCCAATTTAAAGAGATGAATCAAGTCACACCACAACCCTGTGAGACAAAACAGTATTACAGCTTTGAGGGGTAGGGCTTATGGCAGGGCAACTCACTATAGTTGCTGTAACCAGAGTCTGAATTTTCTGTGGTATTTAAGGTTTCAAGGTTTTACATTGGTGGTGTGTAATCTGCCAGAGTTTGGGAGCCGCTGCATTATTTTTGCTGACTGGAAGACACATTGAGAAAGTCAGCACTGTCATCAGACGGTGCTAGGGAGCATAGATATAAAGTATGATACTCCTATTCCATGCATAATATGCTCCAAAAAATGTAAGACGGTCTGCTTTGAGTGGCCGTGGGTATGTGCCAGTGAGATCACTGTCTGCAGCTCATGTAAGTACATATGTGCACATATGTAAATATAAATGTCGAGATATACATTTGCAAAACATCTAAATAAGTAAACTCTGCAAGCATAGGCACATACATACATAATTTACAAATATATTCAATCATACACACATGTATATACATACTCATAGGTGCATGTTTATGCCAATATGCCCTGTATGTAGTTGTGGCTTAAACGGCTGTAAACAAATCAGAATCGTTCCAAACATTCCCTCATTTATTTAATTAAACCTAAATGCAGGTTCAGAAATGTTACCTCTGAGCTCTTCAGAAAGCATGTTGAACGAAAAAAGATTATACGTTAAAAAATGTTATTATACTGTGACTTACATAATATATAATGTTAATTATAACATAAAGTCTATATAAACACAACTCAAAGTGATTTAACCTCCCTGCCCCCAGCATTTTGTTCTATAAACTGCAGGTCCCCTTCAGGGAATATAAGTCATTTCTGTTAAAATCTGGTGCCAGTCAGTTTTTAAGGAGGAGACAACTATGAAAAATGCTCCCAAACACAGATACAGAGGGCGCGTCTCCATGTGTTGCTATGGTGACGTTGTCACTGCGCCGTGATTTAGTATTTCCTTTTGGTACTTCCTTTAGTGCTTCCAAAAGGAAGTACTAAATCACGACACAGTAACAGCTCATACTGCGCCGTATGCATGGTGCATGGTTATTTTTATCCGCTACTTCGCTGTAGCAGTGCGCTATACCGGGGGAGCACGTCGCTACACCGAAGTAACTGCTGGTCCTGTGTAGCCGCCTGTGGATGTTTTGTCACCGTAGTGCATTGCTATGGCAATGTAGCATCACATGTAGATACATCTAGAATGTAATGTAAGTTACTAATATATCACTTCTTAAATGTATAAGCTAAATATCTTTTGTTCTGCAATGCCTCTAGTCACTTGCAAAGAACTGTAAAATCTCACCCCTGCTGGTTTACTTGTGAGGTAGATACTGTCTCGTCAAGCAGTTTTCTCAGTTTACAGGAGTGCTGTGAGTGTTCTCTATGGTTACATAATGCTGAAAAAAAGACACAAAGCCCAACAACTGTTCAGATAAAAATAGCAGTAAATACCATTCAGGTGCCCAGACACACTGCCTAGGGGGACAAGCTTGTGTTTTTATGGGGCTCTTTGCTCTGCAGTATCTTAATTCGTGTAGGCAAAAATATATCATTATTATTACAAGAAGCCAAAACTGCTTTCACAAGGCAATTTAGGAAAGACCTGTTGGCACTTGTTTAAACTGACAGCTCAGATATCTAAGTTCACCTGACTTCATTTAAATGTTATCATTGTTTTTATTTGGATTTAACTTTTGAAAACTCTCTTAAAGAAACACAATTTAAAAAAAAAGCCTAAATACAGACTGACAAACACCAAAGGCAGTTTAATTTGGTCAGCTCAGACTCCTTTGAAATATCAGAAATATCTGCCAGTTAGCTGACCTTGAAACAGCTGTGTAAAATGTTATGTTTGGGATTAAAAGCCCTAAGGAATACTCAGTTAATACACTAGGCATTTCTCACAATCTGTTATAAATAGCCCATCACTGGAGGAGAGTTTATCTAAAGTTGCCTTATAAATGTCCCATTTTTTTTTAACGTTTCATTTATTTTTTAAACTATCAGACTGAAAATATATCTACTTCTACCAGGGACAAATTCTGTTTATATCTATTTTTGCCTCCCAGATTAGTGCCCATTCAGGCCAATTTGCAGGAAGGTGTTGTGAGCAAGCAGTCATGTAAAAAGAAAGAAATTGAGGGTATCCCCCTTATACGTAGGATATGATAGAAAGCACCTACATTTTTCTAATAACTTTTGAGGACTCTTTAAGGGAGGAAATCTCTACCTATATAATAATTTGGGGATGCTGTCCTTTTATCACGTTTCTACAGACCTTGGTTGACGTTACATTTAGGATGCAATTAGTGTCATACTCATGTCTTACTTTTAAACATGAATGCAGCCACATGTTCAGGCAATTAATTGTGCTGCAAAAAGGAAAAACAGCCACAAAAAATATTACCCAATTTTGTGTAATATTACTCAGTATTATATATGTGTGTGTATGTGTGTGCATGCATACGTGTGTGTATAGACACACACACTATTAAGTAATATTATGCAAAAATGGGTAATTAACACACTGCACATAACACATAATTATATAATATTACATTTTTAGTAATACAGGCAGTCCTCAGACTTACGACACAATTGGTTCCTGAAAATGGCACCTTAAGTTGAAACATTGCAACTCAGAGCCGATTTTCCCATAGGAAACAATGTTATAAATGAGGGATAGGTTCCTGAACCAAGGCCCGATACAGTGTTTTCACCAAAAATACCCCAGAATTTTGTACTCAATCAATTATAGATGAGTAATGTAGCTACATTAATGTATTTATATTGTAAATAGCAATCATATTGATTTGGAAGGACTTCTTTGAGGTGACTTTGCTGGACTTTTTGAAGGCCTCTTAGTTGGACTTTTTGAAGGGTTCTTGGCTGGAGTCTCCTCAGGAGTCTTGTCTGCAGGTTTTTCTGGAGTCTTGTCTGATTTCTTAAAGAAAGTGTCCAAGGAAGTTTGGAAAGATATTCTCTAGGGAGATGGGTGACACAGCGACTTGTTCGCTGGCATGGTGTCACATCAGATCAAGTGTTGTAAAGTCAAAACTTACATCACAAAGTTGAAATGGTGTCAATTTAGAAATGTTGTAAGTGCAAAATGCTGTAACTCAAAATGTTGTAAGCCGAGGACTGCCTGTATTACCCAAACAATGGTCAATATTTTTATGGATGCATTCCATCACGCCTTAAACTGAACATACAGCTGGGTTAGGACCTCACCAGGTTTCTAACTAGCTCCAATGCAATCCCTACTGGCCAACAATCAGCTGATTGTCAGCTGGATCAGGACTGCACTGGGGTTCAAACCAGCCCCAGCAGAGTCTCTGTGAACCAACAAACAGCTTGCTGCTGGCCCACAATTGGCTAGTCATCTACCAGTTTCAGGAACCTTACCAGGGCCAGTTTAAACCCCACTGCAGTCCCAGAGCCAGCCAACAATCAGCTGATTGTCAGGCACCCAGCTTTCAACTTGCCAGTGATCATTTAAACTTGGCCCTGCACTCACAGCTGGGATCTGATCCCCATCCCACAATTGTGTGGATGGCACATGCGCATGGCAGGAGCAATGACTCTTGGGATCAGGGATCAGATCCCATTCTGTCTTAAAATAAACATCTGCCAGCAGCCTAAAGTACAGATGTGTGTAAATTGTATTTCTTCAGGGGATTGTAGATATTTGCCATATGTTAGTTCCTTAACTCTGACCCCTATTATCTAATCTCTTTAGTCCAGAGGCCAAGTCTTAATCATGTATCCTGATCTCCAAAAAAAAAAAAAAAAAAAAAAGGATTTGATATCACTGACCCAGTAGTTTCCGACCTTCTCTGGCCCATGGGCAATACTATTAAGGAAGTAACACATTGCAAATAACATCTTACCTTGCTGCCCTTTCAACTTCAGTGCTAACATTTTAATTTCCTGTGGCAGCAAGAATCATTGGAGGGTCTGATGGGTAGCATGTTGCCCATGAACCATGGGAAGGGAAACATTGCCCTAACTCATTACTCTCTTCTCTTCCTCCTAGCTCAGCAACTCCTTTCCACTTCCCTGTATAATATGCTTTCCTCCAAAATAACAGCCTTTCAAAAGGGTGTTCCCATTTAATATAGTACAGTACCATAGGAATCCAACTTCTATAGAGGTGAGGGTAGATGATATCTGATAAGTACATAAAGTAAAAACAAACCAGTGCTGTTTTTTTCTTCCTTTATCAGATAATATAAACTAGGCAATTAGAGAGACATTCATCTGACCTCAATAGTAAGAAAACCTTTAGGACAGAATTTAAGTGGAAAAATAATTAAAGTCATGGAAGTAAAAGGAAAATGGGATAAAATGCAGCATGAGTTTAACAAAGGTAGCTCACTCCAGAATAACCAGATAACTGATTTTCTTTGCAAGGAAAATCCAGTAGATCTAATCTACATGGATTTAAGTAAAGTATTTGATATGGCACCAGGTAGGAAATTATTAATTTAGCTGGAGAAGACCAGGATTATAAGAGCTATAAGGTGGATAAGAAATTGGCTAAACAGGGGTTGTCAACCGGGGGTATGCATATCCCAGGGGTACTTGACAAGGCCCTAGGGGGGCGGGGGAAACTTGTATGCAGCGGCTGCTGCTGCTCTGCATCTGGCCACACTCCCCATCCCCTGCCCACTCAGCAGCAGTACAATGATCCAAAAAGTTTGAAACCCCCTGGGCTAAGATAATAACCAGTAATGCTGATAGGAAAAATAGCATGCTGGAGGCAGGGTCCTAGTGGAGTTCCTCAACTTAGTTAACATTTCTATTTTTGATGAGATAAAGTTCGAAAAAATCGCCAACATGGAAAAGGGTAGAAATGTCATACAGAAAGAATGGGATGACCTTGAGGACCAGAGTGGCATAAATGAGAAGAAAATTCAACAAGGTGAGCTGCAAGGTCAAGTAGTTAGGGACTAATAATGGGAATTTAGGGATTAATAATAAATAGCAAGAATTTGTGCAATGAACTAAGAGCTGATTTGTTAAAGATGGTTGAGGTGATGGTGAATGCATTGGTTGACCATAGGATGGCTATGAGCCAGTAGGCATGTCTATGCATTCATTAATGTACTATAGTTACTGTGCATTAAGTTCAGTACTTGTACAACAAAGTACGAAATCAATGAGCAGTAACTGGCACTACTGCCGGTGCATGACTTTTTAGTGATGCTAACTGCACAGTAGCCTAATACTACTACACAGTAGTGTATTAGCATGGTTTTTGCACAGTACACTACTGCACAGTAGAATTAGGCTATTGTACAGTTAATATTTTGTGTAGATGCACCCAGCGATGCGATGTGGACATTAAAAAATAAAATGAGATCCTAGGATGAATTAGGAGAGGGCAGTAGTAACACAATTGCACACGGCATAAGAATAACTAGATTCTGCTAACCTGAATTCTGATCCTAAGTACTGGTGTGAACTTTTAAAAACTGGCTTTGTATAACCTATGTGCCTCAAAATTCAGTGCACCAGCCACTGTTGCACACACAAAATGCAAGTTCCCTAAGCTGCTAACTGCTTCCTGGGCTTCCACCAACATTATTAGCTTGAACAACTGTGGGGGCCTTACATATATGTAAGCACACTGCTGTAAAAATTTACATATTCAAATATGAATCCTTGCTGCACCATTTCAATATGGCTATTGCTATATTCAATATGGCTATTGCCATATTGAATCTTAGAATCCTGAAATCTTAGAAGTTCAGGTGTGAACAAGGCAATAGGTCATATACACACATTCTCCAGTGCTTTATTCAGTGTTCAGACAACTAAACCTTCAGTTGCTATATTTTGCTGTTTTGTTCTTTCTACTAAAATAAATGAAGGGGTCCAAGTGTGACCATGCCAAGATTCATCATTCACTTGATATTTCATTCATGTGGCTCATACAAGTTACAAACACACATAATGCATATGTGTTGCACTAAAACAAGCATTCCACATTCAGGCTATGTGAGAAGCACATATATCAGCCATGACTGTATCCCAGTGAAATAATAAAGTCTCACAGAAGTACCTAGAACATGTTTACGGTAATTTTTTCTTAACTCTGCCCATGTTAAAAATCCCACTGGAAATCAATGGGCCTTCACACTCCCTGCATAGATATGATTTCTTTGATTGACAGGTAGGCGTGCAACTAGAATTCAAAGGCTTAGGGCCTATTGCACAAATGAGTAATTTGACCCCATAAAGTATTTGTAAGACCCACACTGACCTGGGCTACATAAGCTTTTCATAAATGTCTTTTCTTTTATTATGTATTTTCACTTAATGGATCTTTGTAATAACTTGTACACAATACAGGCTGAGAAGAGTGATTTTCTAGTCCTGCTTATCAACCAGTAAAAAGTCAGGTGATTGGTACATACAAAAGGGTCAGTATCAAGCACAT